GTGTAGGAAGTCCCTAACTAAAATAATGCATTACTGTGATGTGGACAACCCACACACAAAGTCAGCATTTACACACAGACTTCTGCCAGCTGTGCTCACCATAATCTCAGTAAATATGTGTCGCTCAACAATCTCATGCTTTTGGTGTTTGCACATCTTCATCCATCTTCAAAACTGTCCTGACACAAGCTGTGATTTGGGAGGTTTGGGCACGGCATTGAGAGGAGTTTTTCACTAGGAGTCAGTGCAGCACCAGACCAGGTGTGAGACAGTGACTTCTTCGTCAATCTTTTCAGCACTTGGGCAGATGAAGTGACAGTGAGCTGATGTGGTGTTGAGGATAGTCCCACTTGAAGCAGAATTTCTGAGCAATGTAGCACAGATTCGATGACACAGATATCCATGAACAACTGACAAACAATAAATGAACACTTACTTGTTCTTACAGCTCTGGCTTCTCACACAGAGGGTATCTTAACATCTTTCCCTGTTGGAGGTTTTCCACAAATGGGACAGGACCGCTGGGTGACACGTCACAAGCTTTGATTTTGGGCACCAGTCTCAGTTACAGACACAGGAGACGGCACAAGTTTGTGTCTCTGTGAGCAGCCAAAGATCTCTTTGTCACAGAACATTTTAAAAGTTTTTCAGCCAATAGCATATTGTTAAAGCTTACAAACAATTGTTCTATCCAATCACTAAAAACACACGTGCACCTTCTTCAAACAATGCTTGCTAGTTTGCTTTCTATTAACAATATATAATACTCTATTATTAAGCTTAAAACCTTCTACTATCTACTACTTCTACTATCTTGGTCAGCATATTTTTCTGCAGTCTTAAGGTCTATCTTAGCTAAGCTTAAAAACCCAACTATTGTTTTATGTCCTTGCATATTGTATTATTGTATCTTCCTTACTTTCAGGCTTTGCAGCTGCAACTAGCTCTAATTTATCTGCTTTTTATTTTCTGAGGCCTATTTTCACAGCTTCTGGAAGTCTTCTTACCTTTACTGTTTCCCACACTTCCCTACCCAGCTTGACAGGGAGATATTTCAATCACCAATCCTTTATATTCCTGTCATATTCATTCACTGTCAGGTGAGAGCCTTATCCAATGGTAGATTGAAGTTCAGACCATGTCATCTTTGCTTAGTTTCAGTCCTTGACATCTTGTTAATTGTAATGACAGTGCAATAGAGAGTTCTGATGAAACTCCAGGCAAGTATAGCAGTTTTCTTCAAATACTGCGAGGATGGATTTTTAAAAAAATCCAACTGATAAAGACCCTACCATCCCCTCTCCTTCCCATTCTTTTTAGGCTATCCAGGAGCACAGTAAAATAAAAACACCAAAACCATGACATTAGTGACTGCTATCATTATTTTTCTAGGACACAGATATTCAGGCTATAGTGACCACAATCATCTGATAATGGCCAAGCTATTCTGCAGGTAATAGTCCAGCTAAGGATTAATTGCATCAACCATGCATATAACTATATTATTGACATGTTTGGTTTGCATTTTAACTTCTCTTGCAAAGACTATAAATAAAAGGAGTTTCTAGTTTTAAAATCTTCCCTCTTAAAAACCTTCTTTCTGCTGGCACTGCTGTCCCAGGGCCAAAGGCGCAAGGCACTTTGCCCATGATGGCAACCAGTTCCTCAGGAACACTGGTCCCAGCTTTGTTGCCCACATCTTTCCAGTCAGAGCCACCATACTGCAGTCCCCCCTTCCCTCCTCATGGCCCAAATTAGGGCCAAGTTTTGTTACTAGCAGCAAACCCATCCAACCATGCAGAGGAAGCCCATTTAGGGTCAGCTCACTAGAGCTGCACCCTGTCCCTCTCCAGAGGATGGCAGCAGAGCTCAAGCAACCCTGAAGGACCTTTTCCCCCTGGCTTGTAGGATCACAGAATGCTTGGAGTTGAAAGGGATCTTAAAAATCATCTAGTTCCAATCCCCAAAGTGCAGACTCTGCTGAGCTCCCTGCTAGTTTCAGGCTTAACCTAAGCAAGTTTTCCAAGGGATCCAGACATGGCAGGATGAAGTATTGCTGATGAGTACAAAAAATCTGGATGGGAGTTCCAGGTAACATCAGGAGAAATTAAAGTGGGCAGCACTAGAGGAGCAGAACCACCTCCAGCCAAATGACTGTACCAGTGGATGCCCAGGGTGGGATGGGGAGGTCCTACCTGGATCCCATGTGGATCCCACCCTGCAACTCCCCAGGCTGTGCAAGGAGAGCTGCTTTCCTAGTTTTCTCATTAACAAAAAAAAACTAAAAAAAAAAAAAACCCAAACAAAAAAAAAAACACACCAAAAAAACAACAAAGAGGGGATTTCAAGGGTTTGGAAAGGCTGACCTGCCACACCACAGGCCTGCCTGCTGAAAATATATTTATTTCAGCAAGCCATGGAAAGTGTGTTATGGATGATTAGACCAGAATGAAACGGGCTAGGAAAATTTGTGAGATTAGGAACTTTCAGTGTTAAATTAAGGTGTATGAGTTGTAGATTGTTTTCCTTAAAGTTATCCCTTTTATGATAATCTATTTTCAGAGTAAAATTAAAATGCTATGTTTATAAATAAATATGTCTATATCAACAAAAAATATGTCTACAACAGGGTTGCAGTGTTGGTGGATATGAGAAGAGTGTTTGACATTATCTACTTTGCTTGTGAAAAGCATTTGAAGCTGTACAGCATGACATCCTTATCTCTAAACTGGAGAGACATGAATTTGGTGGATGGACTGTTCCCATGGATAAGGATTTGGCTGGATGGAGACACTTAAAGAGTTGTGGTCAATGACTCCACGTCCAAATAGAGACCAAATAGTGATGAGCAGCATTCTTCAGGGTTTGGTATTGGGACTGGACTGTTTAACATCTTTGCTGGCAACATGAACAGTGGGATTGTGTGCAGAAGCTGTGTTCTCCTCGAGCCTGGATGTCACTGCACTGGGAACTGCCCTAGACCAATAAGCTGCTTTATTCCCCTGGGTTGGTTTTGCATGGCCTGGTTTTTGGCAGTGAGGGGGGCCACGGAGGTGGCTTCTGTGAGAAGCTGCTGGAAGCTTCCACCATGTCTGGCAGGGCCAATCCCTGATGGCTCTGAAGATGGACACACTGCTGGCCAAGGCTGGGGCGATTAGAGAGGTTGGTAACACCTCTGTGATAACAGATGTAAGAAAAAACCAAAACAAAGGTGGAGGCACAGTTTTAACTCCAGATAGAGAAGAGGAGCAGGTGAGAACATGTGAGGGAAACCACATGGAGACACCAAGGGCAGTGGAGAAGGAGGGGCAGGAGGTGCTCTAGGCACCAGAGCCAGGATTTCTCTCCGGGCTGTGGTGATGACCATGGTGCAGCAGCTGTGCCCCTGCAGCCCATGGGGATCCACAGGGGATGTAGGGATCCACCCAGAGCCCGTGGGGGAGGTGCCCACACTGGAGCATGTGGATGCCTGGAGGAGGCTGTGATCCAGTGGGAGACCCAGTGGAGAGAGGGTCCCTGCTTCCAGGCTGGAGCAGCCTGTCCTTGGAGGGCTGCACCCCAAGGAAGAGTGACCCATGCCACAGCAGTTTTGGGAGGACTGCTTCTCGTGAGATTGGAACCACCCTGGAGAAGTTCACAGAGAATTTTCTGCTGTGGGAGGGACCCCACGGTCTCACAGGGAAACAGCCTCCCTCCCTGCACAGGGGAAGAAAACCTTGGGTGACAAAGTGACCCAAACCCCCACTCCCTTGTCTCCCTGTCAATGGGATGGAGGGGCTGGGGGGGAAAAAGGTGTTCTTAGGGCTTATTTTACTTCTCATTATCCTGCTCTGACGTTGTTAGTAATAAACTCACTTTGTACCTCTAAGTTGAGCCTGTTTTGCCTTTGGAGTGTTTCCTCACGGTCCTTATCTCAGCTAATGAACCCTTTGTTAAATTTTTCTCTCCTCTGTCCAGCTGTAGCAGAAAAGGTTGAGTGAGTGGCTTTCATGGGTGCCTGGTGTTTGGCCAGTGTCAAACCACAGCATCCCCACAGGTCACATTGCACTGGGAGGGTGTCTCACAGCACCAGGTTTAGTTTGCCTCTGGGGCATAGAGATGATAAACAGGCCAGGGGCCTGGGGGATCCATGATGAGTCTGTGCTGAGCTCTGGGGCTGATGGTGTTTACCTAGGTGAACTGCACTCTGCTAATCCATGGGACTGTGTGAACAGGAGCAGGGATTTGGGACCACACAAATAACAAAGGCAAGTTTGCTCCAAAGAGGGGAGTTCCTTGCAGGAATAATCTGCTGCAGCTGCACACATTTGACCATGTCACATTTACGTTCCTGATGACCTCTACAGATCTCTAAAAGAAGGTCTCTCATTACTGCTTTTGTCAGCAATATGCTTTGCAGTTTTTGAGATTTGATTTACCAGGATGGAGAATCTCATTTAAGTTTTGCCATAGTATTGCTCTGCTGAATCCAAAGATCAAATAAGGCACTGCCAAGAAAACACAGCAGCATAAGGGGAAGGAGTACTCTGACAAAGAAAACTAAGAAGAAATTAAAGGAAGCATCAATAATTGAATTGAAAGTGAGGCAGCTGCTTAAAAAAATTGGACGAATTTTACCACTGGGATCAAACATTCAGTCAATTCAAATTTATGAGAACAGTCTGTTTGATTATGTAATTTGTGCAGTAAAAGGCCATATCATCAGTATGATCAGTGTCTTGAGATACAATCAGATATGTGATATTTGGGTACAGGCTGAGAGTTTGGCCAGGATCACAGCAATAATCAACCTGCTCACAAAGACTTTAGCTCTGGTTGAGTCAAGCCTGAACCTACTGTTACTGAACAGTGAAACTGGAAGGAGATTAAATCTTACAGGAGACTTCCATGAAAAAGGACTCAAAGTGACTGCACTAAACATAGTCTGGATACACAGAGACATCTCATCATGAAAGGGCAATATTTATCTACACTAAACAGTACACAGAACAGACCCACTGTTGCTTGCAAGAGCTTCTTTAATGGCACCAGCACAAAATGGATTAGAGACAATAGCAGAAGCCATGGTATCAAAAGGACATTTTAAAACAATTCACAAAGAAAGTGACAAAAGCAGAGGCAGAGAACTAGGTCTCAAATTTCTTGCTGGTGCTGCATCTTCCTCAGCTTTGGAGGATTTGCATTCTAATAGGAGCGGCCAGGGCGAAGGGGGCGCAGGAAGGAAAGCTTGTCATTGAAATTGATTGCCTTGTAATTTGGAAGGTTTTCACGTTCTCGAGCAAGGTATTGAATTCCACTTCCATCACTGTGCTCACACAGCAGCCAGGCACCTCTCTGGACTTTGTGGGAAGACATGATGTCATTGTCGTGTCCCGCAGCCAGGTTGGTTGCTTCTTTTATTACCCTGCTCTTCCCTTGATAGTTGGTATGCTCATAGAGAGTGATCTCAGGATTGCTCAGATCTTCAGTGATCATCTGCAGAGAACTGACCTTGTTATTCATCCTGGAACCAAGAAAGCTATGGTCTCCCTCCTCAAGTACCAGAAACTGGCCTCCATAGTTTGAATGCTCATAAACCACCCAAGGCTGGCCAATTACTTTTGCAGAGGAGGCAAGATCATTCCAATCTGCATCTCTTAGATTGGCAATATCAGAGGTGAATTCTTTGGATAAACCCTGGAAGCTGGAACGCTCATAAAGGATGATTTTCCCCATCTCAGTAGGATTTCTAGAGTTTAAATTTCTTCCTCTAGGAACTGGATGACACCCTGCACGAACGGAAGAGAGAAAACAAGCAATGCTTATAAGAAGCCTTTTGGAACTTGAAGCAAAATTATGGACACCCAGGAGGGAAAAAGGAAAAACAAAATATTTTGAACAATGAATAAACATAAAAGTAGCTGGAAAAGAGTGAGGTCATGACATGTGTGTGTTGATTTAGGTGTATTCCCAAGAGTAAGATGTCAAATACTCTCATGTTCACCCCTCACAATGGTGCACCACTGGCCCCCTGCACCCTCTCCCTTGGCAAGGTTTGTTTGTCCTGCAGCAGCCATCTCCTCCTCATGCCCTGCAAGATGGGTTCAGGCTCTGCACATGCAGACAGCACACCCTCACGGCTGTGCTGCAGCTCTCAGCCCAACACTAAAGCCTCCTTCCCTTCCCCTGCATTTCCCTGCAGCTGCCCAAGAAACCCTTCCAGTTCTCTGTGCAGAGTGTGCCTCTTACCTTGATGGCAGCTGCAGGGCTGGGGAGAGCTGAGGGCAATTCCTCCAGTGCAGGGCTGGGGTTTGGGAAGGGCATCTCACCTCCCTGCATTTATACTTGCACAGAAGTCTTACAAAGCACCACAGTCAACGGAACTGAAAGCGTCCAATATTACCCCCAGGGATTAAAACTAATTATCCATAGTATTTTGCCTTCTATGGTCCTAAAACCAGATATCTTCTTCCTCTTGTTCAAAAGTCTGTTGAAGCATGAGTGACTTGATGAAATGGGGGAAGTTCAGTTCTTGTTTGTCCTTCTCCTCCAGAAGAAAATGGAATCAGATTAATAAAAAGGTATCAAAATAGTTTGTGACACATGTTCTGTTTCTGAATGTTGCAGCTTATGTTTTTGCTTTTCAGGGAAACATGTCTAATACACAACCTTAGTTTTACTAAGAGTTTGGTTGGGAGATATCCAGGTGTCAGAGATGGCATTTACATAGATTTTTCTTTTTTCAGTTGTCTTTTCTCCTTAGCATCACAGAATAATTTATATTGGAAAAGGCCTCCTAGATCGAACCTTTGACTGAACACTACCATGCCCATTAAACCATATTGCAAATGTCACTTCTTGTGTTTTGAACACTTCCAATGATGCTGGTTCCACCACTTCCCTAGGTAGCCCATTCCAAAGCTTAATTACTCTTGTTGTGATTAAATATTTCCTAATATCCAACCTGAACCACTCCATGCACAACTGAAGGTCATTTCCCATTGTCCCTCCCTTGCCTGGTACAAGGGCCAAGCCTCCACCTTGCCACAAGCTCCTTTCAGGTACTGTCAAGAGAAAACATATCTGCCATGAGCCTCCTTTTCTCCAGGATAAACACCCCCTGCTCTCTCAGCTGTTTCTCAGCAGACCTGTGCTCCAGACCCTTCACCAGCCTTGTTGCCCTTCTCTGGCCTCACTCCCACACCTCAATGTCTTTCTTGCGGTGAGGGGCCCAAAATGAACACAGGATTCCAGGTGTGGCCTCACCAGTGCTCAGTACAGGGGTACAGTCCCTGCCCTGGTCCTGCTGGCCACACCATTGCTGATACAGGCCAGGTGCCATTGGACTTCTTGGCCACCTGGACACTGCTGGCTCATGTTCAGCTCTCTGAAGGTGTGGATGCCCCATCTCTCAAAGGGTTCTTTAGGGTCTCTTGCAGCCCAAACCATTCTCTGATTCTGTGACATATATGATCACATATATATTTATCTGTTGTAATAGATGTACATGGTACTATCATAGATGATAATCAAAAGCACCAATATTGTTGTCTCAAAAGCAGAAAGAAGGTCACAGTGGAGAACCCAAAAACAGGATGTAAATTTCTGGCATGGTGTAAACCCAGCTTCAAAGTCAGAATTTTAAAGCAGAAGCATGGCAAAAGAAACAGATATTTGCAGATATTTATTTTGCACTCAATACCGTTTTATTTTAAATAGTGCTTTATACTTCCAGTTTTGAAATTAAACACTTGAATCTGGTTAGACATGATGTTTCTTTCACAAACATGCCAAGCAGCAATCTTATTATGCTAAATAATACTCTAAACATTTTTCCAATTCAGGCTGAAGTAAATGCTTCAGATAATATTTATTTTTAATGTTTTTGCTCTATCAATTTTTTTCATTACTGCCCATGGACCACCAATATTGTTTCTCCTCATTTTTCCATCCTCCTCAATTTTCTTCTCCAGATGGGTACAAATAACTTCCTACATCAAGTTATTGGTTCTCTCAAATGCCACACCATGCTCTCAGTGACTCGTACTGGAAGTCTGCTTTGCAGAAAACAGCATCCCATAAACTCTTCTGCTGGGAATTCTGTAGTGTGTTCCCCCAGGACTCAGCCCATCCTTTCTCTGGTCACTGTCTTCCAAGGTGCTTCGATCTGATTTGCTCTGTTCTGGGGTTCCTGACCAACTTCCAAGCACCAGAAACACCATCTAATGAGTTACTGAACTTAATTAAACTAATAGTAAATTGCAGAATCAGCTCTATTTCTGCATTTTTAAATAACTGCCTTTGGTCACTTACCAGTAGGAACTTACTTTACAGGATCATGCTACTGGAGGTTGTGCTTCCCCTCTGCTGGTTTTGAAATTAACTCACAGGCATTCTGGACAACATTACAAATTCATCACTAGAACAGTTTTCAGAGTCAACTCTGAACCCTTGTTGCTTTGTTATTATTCAAAATATTTCTGGTTTATATTTTCACAAAATGTTTTATGTTGTCACTTTAAATTCTCATGAAAATCTACGTTTGCATAAAATGAATTTTTAGCACAAAAGTAACAGGACATGAAGATGGATTCTCAGTTTCTTCGAATGGTTTTTAATTTCTGTTTGCATTTGTGTTGAAAGACACTATGATGTCCACTCAGAGGAAACTATCTGCAGCAGCCCAACCACTATCACAAATAGAAGCTAGGGAAAAGTTAGAGAGAGCTCCAAGACTTGGACCACTGGGTGGTCTTGTTGGCTCTGAGAGGACGTTCCCCAAGTCTTGAGCACTGCACGGCACAGAGCAGTGTGTGGTTCTTTGGCAGGGAAACCATGGCTGGACTTGCATTAACATCTCAGCTACTGTGGAAGCAGTGACACGTGGCAGAGAGGCTGCTACAGGGCGTGGGGTCTGCAAGACCAGATAGAAGAGGCATGGGTCCTGCACCAGCCTAAACCTCAGTGTACTGCTCTGTTGACCCTTGCTGTCTCTCCTCCTTCAGTCACCAGCTCTACAGGTGTCTCCGTCTGTCCTGCTAAGACACATCTTGCTCCAAAGGCCTCCACCCATGGTGATATTTAAAGTGTGGGAAGACAAGTTTGTAAGGGTATGTGGAACATGACAGTCTCTGTTTCATGAACTTTGTCAAATAAAGACAACTTCTGTTCAAGAGAAGTGACAATAGTGTGATTTGCCAGCAAAGTTTGAGCTGGAGCAGCCAGCAAGTGGGGCATGGACCTAGACAGGGATTTCAGACAGGCAGGTGACTCGTGCTGGGCGTCAAGGCACCCACAGAACACCAGTGAGAGCAGTGTGTGGTGTGTGTGGGCTGGCTGCAAGCACCAAGCTGCACTAGCCAGGGGGTAGGAGACACCAAAGTGTCCTCTGCTCAGAGAGCCCAGAGCCAGGCGTGAGACTGGACAGGCTGGGGGCTCTCTGCCCTCTTGGAAGCGCCTGTGAAGGTGCTTGTGGCTGTGGAGAGTGAGGTGTGCAGATCTTCACTGGAGGGCTCCCACGTGGATGATGTGGAGGTGAGGAAGGAGATGGGGCTGTCTCCATTCCATTCTGTGGGAGAGCTGGCAGTGTGGGTGTGGGGTGTCTGGGGGCAGCCCCTGGGCTGTGGCAGCCCCTGGGCCATTTGGCCGTGGCCGTGTCCTTCCCGAGCAACAGGGGGTGCCTGTCCCTGGGTCACACAGCCCAGCCCAGCACAGGTGCCCCTGCAACCTGGGCAGCAGCGGTGTGAAAGGCAGCCCCCGACAGAGACCCTGCCCCTGGGCTCAGCAGCTGAGCAGGAGGAGCTCCTGGGGCTGAACTCCGCTCATCCTCAGCTATCCCGACACACAGCACTGGAAAAGTGACTTGGCCAGAAAGAAACCCTGAAACTGGGGCTTTTCCACACAAAAACCAAACACCCTGGTGTAACTTTACTCTTCTTTCCTTTTACTTTCAGTCCTTATCAGTCCTGTTTGTAGGAACTACCATGGGCTTTCTCAGAAAAGCATCTTGTGTGTTGCAATCCTGCAGATCCACAGATGTTCTCTCAGTTCTCTTTTTCTTCCACTTGTAGTTGGATGGGATTCTACTTCTACTCTCTTGAAAGCAGGAGAGACACATCCTGAAAAATTCCCTTCCAAAAACCCCCAAATTCACCAAGAAAATCCCAAACACTAAACTGAGGAGAGACAAATTGCAGGGACACATTAATTGCTGAGCACAAGGACAATGCAAAGGAGCTCATTAGACCCCCTGAGTCAATGTCAGTGCACAGAAACCCCCAGCAGGACAGCATCAGTCTGACAAGGCTGAATCAAGGGGATGGACAAGGGAGGGGCGTCCACTGTGTTTATTTATAGCAGGATTCCTGAGGAGCAATATGGCTCAGGAAATACTGGGATTTGCCAGTCTTGGTCCTTACATGATGAGCTGGAATGATCCAGCGAGCCAGGAGGATTGTAGGATTGGTGGATAATTGAAATTGGAAGTGACCTCTGGTTGCCATTGGGTCCAGTCAGCTGCTTACCACAGGGACAGCTGTGAGGTGAATTAAGTTTGCTGGTGGCTTTATCCAGTCAGTATGAGTGAGTGTGGAAACTACACAACATTGGAACACAAGCCCTGTGAGGAATGACTGAGGCAGCTGAGGTTGTTTAGCTTGGAAAAAAGGAGACTCAAAGGTGACCTTATCATTCTCCACAACTCACTGAAAGGTGGCTTTAGTCAGGTGGGGGTCAATAGCTTTCTCCAGGCAGCAGCTGACAGAACAAGAGAACACAGTCTTAAGCTGCACCAAGGGAAATATAGGTTGGATATTAGGAAGAAGTTTTATATGGAAACAGTAATAAATTATTGGAATTGTCTACCTGTGGAGGTGGTGGAGTTACCATCCTGGATGTGTTTAAAAAAGATTGGATGTGACCCTCGGTGCCATGGTTTATTTGAGGTGTTAGGGCATGTGTTGGACTCAATGCCCTTGAAGGTCTCTTCCAACTGAGTGATTCAGTGATTCTCTGGTCTCTAGCGGTGTGATTTAAAATTAGTTGACCTCATCCAGAAAATGTTTCTCAGCCATGGAAAAGACAAGGCTAAGGGAAGTGCACAGCAAAAGGACACCAGGGAATGAGTCTTATCTGAAAGCAGGGAAGCTGTTACTGAAAATAAGGAAAAAATATGACTCTAAGGGGTTTTCAAGACTGGCAGAAGGGCCATGTACACTGGGGAATCTCCATCCTTGCAGTTGTTCAGAAATCTCTTGAAGATGGCCATGTATAACCTGATAATGTTTGGAGGTAGCTCTGCTGCGAAGAAGGCCTTGGACTAGGGAAGTCCCTTACA